GATATACCACATTTTCACTTGAGTCATTTCTGCCTTTTGGCAGTCATGAGTAGTGCTATATTTGGTGAAGAATCTGTTTAAGTCCTCACTTTCAGTTCCCTTGGGTGTATACCCAGGAGTGGAATTGTTAGATCATATTGTAGTTCCCTGCTTAGCTTTTTGTGGAAGATCATGCAATTTTTAGAGTTCAGTTCAAAAGGTGGTGGATGCCCTGCTGTCACCGACCTTGAGAACACCGCAGGCAGCAGACATCTAAGAGAGCAGCCTTGTGTTTTGCAGGTCACTTGCCACCTCCTCTGGAGAGACCCGGCAGTTGTGTACCAAGGGGAGGGAAGGTTTCTGCTACTGGTCCCAGGGAATCAGGTGGCCGGGCTCTGTGGTCTGGACCCCTCCTGAAAAGCAAACTCTGTGGAGGTGCAGTTTGAGCATTAACAGGTGTTTGCCTTCACTTCTGCATGACCAGCTGCTCCGAGGGCCACAGTCCTGGACACGGGGAGCCCAGCTGGTACAGACCCATGTGCAAGGGGTGTTTTGGAGCCGGAACCTGCTGGGAATGGGACTTGGGTGGGAGGGTGGGATTTTTTATGCATCTTAATGACAGCTGGCCTGTGTGGAACTGTAGTTCCTGGGGTGGCTTTCCACAGACCAGGGCCACAAAGGATGGCTGTCTTCCTGGAGGAAGTGGGCCTTGCTCTGAGTGGAGGGAAGTCCCAGGAGTATGGACTGTCACATGGACAGTGTTCGACCTGGCCCAGAGAACAGCTTCGGGATGTCCGTTCCACTGGCTATCGAACACCTGGGGTATTTGGAAATGTGGACTTTTTATTTTGCAATGTGGAAGCCAAACATCCAGGTGACATTTTGGGCCTTTGACCTTTGACCTTTGGCCTGAACCTGGGGGTTGCTACCCCATCTGCATCTACCTTCCCAGTTGTCACCCGAAAGTAGCTGAGGATTTAACAGGCCCCTGGGGAGATTTGGGTAACAGAAGCATTCCAAGAAAACCTGTCCGGGCCACCTTTTGTCTCTGCATGGACGGGGTGTGGAATGTTGGTGGAATCCGCTTTCTGAGTGAGAGAGTTCAGGCCCTCCGCTCCTATCTGCTTTGTTTCAATATTGAAATGTTATTTTAAAAAGACTGCAGTGAACATAGTTTTGAAGCCCCGTGCTCTCTAATTCTGTTACTTGGCAGATGGAAAATAATGATGAGTTCCACAAAGATCTGGCCATGGGCAGGAATGAAAATAAAGAATCGTGTGTGTGTCGGTTGGCGCAGGGTTTCTTTCCTCCTGGCCTTTGTGTGTGCCCGCTAGAGAGCCCTAGGCACAGGGGCCCCACAGTGCAGGACCCAGCACCACATAGATGGCCGAGGGGCCTTCTTGTTTTACTCTTTGTTGTGTGCGTGATCTCTGTTTAAGTTTCAAAAGTGAAAATGAGGACCATTTAATTAAAGCCCGCGGCTCACAGCTTGCTGTCCTCTCCCTGATGCTTGCTGTGTTCACAGGAGCCTGCTTGTGGCTTAGGCCTGTGTGCGCTGCATGGTTGTGCTGTGTGTGTTTGGGTTTTTTTTTATAAAAGGGAATCACAAATATACTTACTTCTCTGCAATCTGCTTTTTTGGGTCATTTATCAATTGCTCTATAATGGAATCTTATCAGGGCTGAACATGAGACTATCTCATTCTTTCAGTGAGTGGAACTAGACATTAGTTTCTGCAGGATGACCCATACATTATTAACAACTCTTTTCTTGATAGATTACTCTTTGGGGTTGTTCCTTGGAGTGCTTGAAGCAAGTTTTGTTCATGTGCAATTTCTGTGGGCTAGTTTCCTAGAAGTGCAATTAACCAGGTAAAATAACATGCGTTGCTAATTTTAACAGGTACCACCAAATTCTTCTACAGAAAGCCTTTTCTCAGTTGATGTTCCTGTTCTCAACTGAGTCCCTCTTTGCTCCCTACTCACTAAGTACTGAGTGTCATGGAGCCTTCTAATTTTTGTTAATCAGCTGGTGAATAACAGTGTCTCATTATTGTTTTAATTTGCATATCCCTGATTGTCAATGAGATTATGCATTTTTTCAGTGTTTATTGGGTATTTTACAGTCTCTGTTCTGGGTAAGCAAAGACGGCATATGTTCATTTGACCTGACAAAATAATTGTAGCACTGAGAGGGGAGGATTTAAAAGATACCTCGAGGGGCACTTCCTCTGTTTTGTTGGAGGGTTGACACTGTAAGTTTTTACTGAGGCTTGGAATGGAAACACAGGGATTTAACTTTGTGCTTTGTCTCAGTTTTTATAAAGTTACTGTTGTTGTTTTGCTTGCTATTAAGCAACCACTAATTAGTGGCAGGATGTCCCCTACAGAAGTGCCAGCCAGAGTCTCACCGGTGGCAGCTTTAAGGACATCCATTTAGAAAATGCCACAGCTCATAATATTTGGGGGTGGTATATCAAGGAATCAAACCCTGGATCAGTGATGTAAAAAGTAAATATTAACAGGACTGTACAAGGCAGCGTTGACCCACCGCCCAGGTTCTGGGAGGGTGGAAACACCTATTTGGTAAATGTGCTTCTCATCATCAAAATATTTTATTAATATTAACTTGCTAATATTTGTAGCACATCTCCAGGAAGTCAGTATGGAGGGTGCATAGTGCCTTGAAGAGGGATCTCGCGTGGAATATCACAGCCCCAACAAGACACTCTGGCTGACCACGTGCCCCTGGGGGTGGGGTTGGGGTAGCTGCCATGCCAAGCTACATGTGCCAAGATTTAATGTCCCCTCCCCATGCAGTTCAGGTTCAGTTCCATTTGGAATATGCCATGTGCCAAATCTGGGTCCAGGCGCGAGAAAGACATTGACAGTTTGGACCTGGTCCAGAGGCAGGCACTGCGGTGATTAAGGGCTTATGCGCATGACATCTGAGCGGGGGCTCAAAGAACTGAATATTTACAGCAGGGCTAAATGCTGGATTACGTGGCTTGGTGACGCTGGTCTCTGCTGCCTCCCTGTCTTGCCTTCCACGTGATGGTGGCTCAGAGGCAAGGAGAGAACCGTATCTGTACCCCTGGGTGAAGGAGCATCTCCTTGTGGGGCCACCTGGCTCTTGGTAAGCCAGGGAGCTGGTACCTGCCTCTCAGGCCTTCTGTCCCACAGCTCCAGTGGTACCCAGGGGTCAGGAGTTCTCATAGAACCGGGCCATTTGGTATCCACACCTCCAGATCTGAACACCCCTCCTGCGCAGGAGAATTTTCTCTCTCCTACGGGGAGACCTGGCCCCTTGCTTTGGTTCTCTGACAAGTTATTGGCCCAGCCAAGTGCATGAGCTTATCTCCCGAGTGAAGACTGACTCTCTGCAGTGGATCGGGTGTCCCAGGTGCTCTTCAGTGTCAGGGATCTTGCTTGCGAAACATCGCTTTCCCATCACCAGGTCACAGTGGGACTGTGGGATGACCTCCAGGGTCAGGGCCTCTGAGTGAGGTGACTGCCCAGAACTTGCTGCCTGTGCTCTTGAGAAGAGTCCCCTGTCCCCTGGTGATCCTCCACGGGGCCGGCAGTGCCAAGCAGTGGTCTGTCTGAACCTGGCGGCAGTGACGGCAGGAAGGCTGTGAAGTGCTGCTGCTAACGTGAACTTGGTGGGCCCTGGCGAGCTCCCTGGTCCCTTACCTCTGTTGGCAAAGTGGACAGCTGCTCTGCCCTCCTGCTTTTATCACTGGAGCAGTTACGGGATGATTTTCTTTATTCTCTGGTTTAGTTCCTTGAATCTCTCATGTGCCTGCGAAGGCTCTGCCTGTATTATGGGTTTTTATGTGATTAAGGCTGAAAACACTTGCGATGCCCAGGGCGACATTCAGAAGGTCACTTGAGATTCCTGAAACGAGAGCTGAGATTAGTAGGCCCTCACTTTTTATTTTTTCTTTCCATTTCTCTGGAGTGCCTCGTCCAAAATACTAAGAATGATTCGGATGGAGATGTTAAAGCCATGAACACTAAAGATAGTAAAATTTGCATTTTTTTTTTCCTGGTAAGGAAAATTCGATCTTGTTTAAAAATCTAAGTCTAATGAAATATTTCAAAAGCAGGGTGAGAACATTAGAATCTAGTCTGCATATTTACAGACTGGGTAGGAGTCACCATAGTTTGTTTATTTATTTTTTTACATGTGCTGCTTATCTTTGCAAAGTCTCAAGAAGTTTGCAAACAACTGGATATAGAACTGAAGTTCCGTAAGGATTCATTGCTCCCATATTTGGAATTCTGGGTGTATCTCGGGAACATGACATCTACCCAGCCACTACTAGGGATGGAAAGGGCAGACCTGTGTTCTCAGCTGAAACTTTTTGAGATTTCTAGGCAGCGTGGGAAAGCCAGGAAGAGAGAAATGAGGGGCTTTAAACCAGAAAGTTGAGGAACGGTAATGGCGTTTTTCTCGTGGGCTCCCTGGGAGGATGAACTTAGCTAAGTCGGGACCAAGGGCCCAGGGTGGTGCCTGGCATATGGTTGGTGCTTACTAGCATCGATTTTAGATGGTTCGTGGGTGCTGTAGGGCTGGGGGCTCCCAGTGGATGAGTGACCTGATAGATCCATATGTCGGTTGCTGTTCAGGCCCTGTGGCCACTCAAGTTCTCCTGGAGGAAACAGTTAATCCATGACAGTGGCAGATGCCCCTGCACATCTGAGTGTTTGAATGTGTGAGTATCTGCCCCACAGGCCTTCACATGTTGACGATAGTTATTTTCATTTGTTACCATTCTGAGGACCAGTTATGAGCGCAGTGTGGATTCTTCTCTGCCCTCCCTGGACTTCTTGTTCTGCCCTTTTTTTCTTTTCGGGTGCTGGAGGTTGAACCCAGGGCCTTGGCACATGCCAAGCACATTTTCTACCTCTGAGCTATATTCCCAGCCCCAGCCAACTTCATTTTACAATAAGAAAGCAGAGTAGTTGGTTTTCCGTGCTAAGATTATTGAATAACCACCTTTACTTGAATCTTTTCAGGTACGAAACCAGCATTGGAGTCTTATTATGGAAAGCGTGGTCCCGTCCGACAAAGGCAATTACACGTGTGTGGTGGAGAACGAGTACGGGTCCATCAACCACACCTACCACCTCGACGTCGTTGGTGAGTCTGCTGCTGCGGGTCGGCCTTTCGCAGCCGGCTCTAGTGGAATCATTTGAAGCCATGATAGTGGATTTACTTGTCCCTCCCCCAGATCTAAGGGGGAAATTATTTTCACATTATTTCTGCACTCTGTTATTTGACTGTTCTGATTCCTGATCTGCTGGTTTTCTGGGTTTCACTGTATCTTCGTTGTTCCCAAACCTGACCTTTTATAAGGTGGACAGGGTAAGAATCGTCTGGCATTCTAGAAGCTGAGATTTATTCTGAAAATGTGAGTGGAAAAGGGGTCTGATATGCTGTAGGAGAACTTTGTTTTTATAACAGGCAGCACCAGGCGTGGTGGCACACACCTGTAATCCCAGCAGCTCGGGAGGCTGAGGCAGGAGGATCAAAGCCAGTATCAGCAAAAGTGAGGCGCTTGGCAACTCAGTGAGACCGTGTGTCTAAATAAATACAAAATAGGCCTGAGGACGTGGCTCAGTGGTTGAGTGCCCCCGAATTCAATCCACAGCACATGCCCTCCGCCCCCGCACACCCACAAAAAAACAAAAAACAGAGACAACATTTCCTAAAGCAGGGCCACAGTATCACGTGGGCTGAAGAGGAAAGGAAAAGGTATCACCAGCGCTGAGCCCCCGCGGGATGCAGGAGGATGGACGTCCAGGTGCCCGACCCCTTGCGTCAGGAGTTGCCTGACTCTCTGGGTCAGGGTCTGTTCCTGGAATGCATTTCCTCTGGGCAGAGGGAACCACTTGGATGAGTTTGTGAGTCCTTTCCCTCCGAGTGCGCGGAGGAAGAGGCATTTTAACAGACATCTTGAGCTCGTGTAGCCCAGTGTCTCGCAAGCTCCTATCTCTTCCCCAGTTTTTCCTCTTGTGGTGGGCTTTGTTGATGACAGTAGGGTTCTCCTCTGTCTTGGAGGGTCCCTACCCGTTGGTCTCTCTGGGAGCACATGCCCACCCACTGTGCTCTGGGGCACGGTCTCTGGTCTCTCATGTCACTTCCTGTGCAGGTGCCCCCAGCGTTATCTCACTGTAGGTATCTCTTCTCTTTTCATGATAAAATGGGTTAACTCCTGGCAGAGAGAAATTCCATAGGTATTTGAATTGCCCTCCAAGCCATTAAAAACCTTTGGGGGGAAAAAAAACTGGATTAACTAAATGGTGTAGATTTGGTTAATTGAAGATTTAGGTTAACTGAAAATTAAAACTATTTTGGCTTTCTGTCAAATTAAATGAAGTTAAATTCACAAGACACTCTGCCTTAGAAAGCACGATAAAGTCTTTATTTGCATTTGCACATAAGCATCCCCTGAAAAGAAGATTTATTTGAGCATTTGAGTCATTCTGAAGCCTTAATATGGAATTTGATAGACCTTTGTACAATGTCTGACCTATGGATAAAGAATGACTTGCATTCCCCTTTTCTTGTAGAGATTCGTGGTATGATTCTTAGAACTACTATGTTCATATATTTTACAAAACAGAAAGAGGCCTAATATTCAAATATGAGGAGAAAATGGTTAATAGGAATTTTGGCATTACCGTACTATATATAAATCCATCCATCAAAGGGTGCGTGACTTGGAATTTACTTTGGGCCGCATGTGTACTGCATTTGACAAGAAGTGTTTCCAGTTAAGGAAAGCAAGTTGAATTTTGGGTTAAAAGTTCTAAATACCTAATTTTGTAATTAAGTAATTTATTGTTGGAGGGGAAAAAAAACACCAGTGGTGCTCCAGCCATCTTCAGGGATTAGGCTTTGCATAGATCCATCAGTTGTCCATTGAGGTTGGTTGGGGCCGCTCCAGGAATCCCAGAGTCCTGTCATGGGCCCTGCAGCAGCAGGCTCTTGCTTAGGGCAGGTTTTCCCTTGAGTTGTTATGTCAGGCATTCAAAAGCCCCTCACCCACCTCCCCTTTGAGCTTTCTGGCAGCTCATCCCTGTGAAGCCCTGAAATCTCTCTTAGAGTTTAGGGTTGGGATTTGAATTGGGCTGCTGAATAATGGAATTGTGCTGTCTAATGTTAATCCCCTGGCAATCGGTCTTGCTGAAAAGAGCGTGTGATTCAGTGGGTAATGTGCAGGGAGCCCGAGTGTATGGAGTAACGCAGAGAGAGGCCTGATTATGTCACAAATTTGGGAGATCGCCCAGCTAAACGCAGGCCAATAATGACACAATGCTGGTTGGGAATATCCATTAAAGCTCAACTCCAATAATTTTCCAAGCCTTGAACCTTCTTTATAAATAGAAGCCAAAAGTCAGCGAAGTATAAGACATTTTCAGTAAAGATGGAGGCGTGAAATACTCTCATCTTTGCTCAGAACCCTAGTAATTGCTTTGAGAAGCACTAATAAAATAAGAATTGAGTCAGCGAAAGAGCCTCGTGTAGACGTACAGGGTCGGCAGTCCTTCTGAACATCTTAGCGAGGGAAACAAGAACGATTCAGGCTTCGGCCACAAACTTCTAGTGGCCCTTGGGCCCAAATTTAGTGTGTCGCTGCATGATCACGGCTTATCAGCGACACCCCCTGCCTCACAGGAAGTCAGGAGCTCTGTTGTTGCTCACATTCTCGTGAGGTTTTATTTTTGTTGCTATGATACCTGGGTTTGTGGCTCAGATGTGAGGAAGCATCAAAATGGATGAGACCTTTTCACTGAAATTCTTCCTTGCAAAGGCAACCCCCATAAGCACTTTAGTGTAAAGGCCGTGTAATTTAAGTGACGTTGTTGTGCTCCGGAATTAAACAGCAAGCTGTTGTGTGTGTGGGGGGGGCTTGCATTTGTGGAAGTCCTTTTAGGAGCCTGCGTGATCCTCATTAAAATCGACACCATTACTTTTCAACCTTTTACTTCAAGGGAAAACGAGCTCGAAGCTCCACGTCTCGTAATTGTGGCAATAAGAAAAACAGCTGGCTGTGGGAGGTGGTCAGTCTTTGCTGTGGTTTATCAGTGGGGGGTGCTGAAGCCCTGGATCTGATGGGAGCCCTGCCACCAAGAAGCTGCATCTAGGATAAGTCATGAACTCTTCACTTTCACTGTGCCTGACTCATGAGTGTTAGAAACGAAAGCAGCCTGGTGGTGTAACAGGAGTAGAACATCTGTCTGAGGGCACACTTGGGCACCAGGTGAGTTGGAACAAGTGGCTTAGCTCTTAGCCTAACCCTCACCTTGATCATCAGTTGGATGGGAATGACGATCCTTGCTTCATTCCTGTGATGGCTGTATTAGTTTCCTAGAGCTGCTATAACAAATGACCCCAAACATGTTTGTTTGAAGTAATACATACACATTCACTTATAATTCTGGAGCCCAGAAGTCCAAAATCTAGGTGTCACCAGGTTTCATGGCTCTGTTACAGCTTCCAGTGGCCATTGTCAGTCCTTGACTTAGAGATATATCACTTCTGTCTCTGCCTCTACCCCCACACATCTCACTTCTGTATCTCAGATCTTCTTCTGTTTTTTTCTTTTCTTTTTTTTTATTAAAGAGAGAGAGAGAGAGAGAGGAGAGAGAGAGAGAGAGAGAGAGAGAGAGAGAGAGAGAGAGAGAGAATTTTTAATATTTATTTTCTAGTTCTCGGCAGACACAACATCCTTGTTGGTATGTGGTGCTGAGGATCGAACCTAGCGCCCCACGCATGCCAGGCAAGCGCGCTACCGCTTGAGCCACATCCCCAGCCCCTCTGTTTTTTTCTTATGAGGACACCTGTCACTGGATTCAGAGCCCACCCTAAACCCAGGATGATCTAATCTCTGTATCCTTAACTTCATTACATCTGCAAAGGCATGGTTTCTTTGTAAGTCCACATCCTTGGGCTCAGGGATTTGGACATGGACAGTTACTCCTGGGGTCACAGTTCAACCCACAGCTGCTCGTGAGGCCTCAGGTGGGTTAGCAGGTGAAAATGCCACATTGGCGCGCGGGTGACCAGCCACCAATGCCAGTTTCCCCCCTTCAAAGGCTGGATTTTTTTGAGGGTTAGAAGGTATCTTTAATAGCTTTCATTTGCTCCATCAGAAGTTTTATTAAACAGACTGAATGCCATTTTGGTACCAACAGAAGTGGCCAGTGGCTGGCTGCCATTCCCGATTCCTAGTTCCACCTTTGATTGAGGCCATCCTAAGACGGATTGGGTTGTTGCACTTGCAGAAGAGAATCCTAGGGTTCAAATGCTTGAAGTTCACTGAGTTGGCCTCTGGATCCCAACCTCCACCCGTCCGTCCGTCTCACAGCAGCGGAAATCCATTCCAGGAGGGCGAGTGATTCGTGCAAGGACTTGAAGATGGCAGAGCAAGGTCTCAGCCAGGCGTTTTTGACTCCTGGGTCAGGGCGTGCCAGCACCTTCCTGTTGGGCTCGCTGTGGTGTGGGCCAGTGGCAACTGAGAAGGAGCTGCTGCGACCCCACCCGACCTCCAGCTCTTCACTGCCAAAACCACAGGAGGCGGAAGTATTCAAAGACTGGATGCTCTTCCTCGCCCACAAAGACCCTTTGGCTTTGGACTGTGAGCTTTTCCTGCTTGGGGTTCCGGTTCTGCACCCCCTGAGACCACTCACCCGGCACTGGGTGTGTAGGATGACAAGTGCATTTGCTGAGGCTGGCCGTATCCTCTCCCCTGTGAATTTACCTTTCTAGAACTTCACCCCACCCCGGAGTTGAAGCGTGAGCAGCAGTCCGTGCTGGAGGGGCGGGTTGGGGCCCATCGGGGGCTGCACTGCCCTCTGGCTGGGTGGAGATCGTGCAAGCTTCAACACCAGCCCCAACTTGCCTGGTGACAGACCAGAATGGCTCTGTTGACTCGCCTTGACATAAATCCTCTGTAACTTGGCTCTGGACATGATGGGACACGGCCCGAAAGCATGAAGGAATCCGTTCCACGCTGACTCCCCTCAGGTGTGTGCTCAGGAGGAAGGAGGCGTCCCCCTTGGCCCTGCGCGGCTGCAGCCCAGTCCCCAGCTCCAGCAGGAGACACGACCCGAGTTGTGCAGAGGCTCTGGTGT